GAGCACATGTTGAGGATGCCTCAGGTTAAACGCTGGTTTCAGCACTCCCCAGGGGAAACGACAGAAGGGGCATGACACGGGCCCGTTCGCGCCCAGATTGTGTGGATGCCTCAGGCGGTTTGCTCGTATTGCGTGTCCAGCACTTTTTGTTGTCGGAGCAGTTTGTGAGATGGCCCAGGCGAAGCGCTGGTTTCAGCACCCCCAAGGGGGGGTGGGTGGAGGGCGCCACGGTGCATGACACTCCCTCGTTCGCGCCTTGATTGCGGAAGTGTCTAAGGCGGTTTGCCTGGTTGCGTGCGCAACATATTGTTTTGTGTTCAGCGCAGAGTTCAAGGATATCTGCGGCGAGGCGCTGGTGTCAGCACTCCCCGGGGGAACCGCCAGGGGGTATGATACTCGCCCGCGCGTGAGGATGTCTTAGGCGGTTTGCTTGTTTGCGTGCCCACCATCTTTTACTTTCGGAGCACACGTTGGGGATGCCTCAGGCGAAACGCTGGTTTCAGCACTCCCCAGGGGAAGCGCCAGAGGGGGCATGGCATGGGCCCGTGTGCGCCCAGGTCGTGTGGATGTCTCAGGCGGTTTGTCCGCTTGGGTGCTTGACACTCTTTGCTGTCGGGGCAATGTGTGAGGATGTCTCGAGCGAGGTGCTATTTTCAGCACCCTAAGGAGGAGACGCCAGGGAGTACTGCACGGGCCCGTTCGCGCCCAGAGTATGTAATTAGATGTTTGAGGCGGTTTGCCCGTTTGGCTTCTCAACGTCTTTGTGTTAGCAGAGCAACTCGCCAGGATGTCTCGAGCGAGGCGTTGGTTTTAGCACTCCACGGGGGAGCCGCCAGGGGACATTGCACGGGCCCGTTCGCGCCCAGATTGTGGGGATGTCTCAGGCGGTTTGCTTGGTTGGATGCTCAACGGCCTTTGCTTTCAGAGCAGCGTGGCAGCGTGCGAGGATGACTCAGGCGAGGCGTTGGTTTCAGCATTACACTGGAGATCCGCCATGGAGTATCGTACGGGCCCGCTCGCGCCCAACATGTGTGGATGTATCAAGCGGTTTGCCTGGTTGTGTGTTCGACATCCTTTGCTTTTAGAGTAGTGCGTGAGGATATCTTAGGCGAGGCGTTGGTTTCGGCACTCCAAGGGGGAGTTGCCAGGGGATATTTCGCGGGCCCGTTCGCGCCCAGATTGTGGGGAAACTTCAGGTGGTTTGCCTGTTTCGGCCGCCGGGGCTTGTTTCTGGATTTGTGTTACCTAGACTCCGCCAGACTTCACTCACGCACTCACCTTTCCTTTCCTTTTCATTCGGACGAATTCGCACTCAGGCTTACTCTTTAGCACCTCTCCCTCACTCAGACTCAATCGTCGCATTCAGATTCAACCAGATTCAGGCCCACTCTCATTCAGGCTCGCTCCGATTCAGACTCACTCACATTCGGGTCCACCCATACTCAGACTCGCTCACATTTCGATTTTACCACATCCAGTCTCGCTCACAGATACTCACAGTCAGATCAGCTCACATTCGGAATCACTCGCACCCATAATCAATCACCCACATATTCTCGTTTACGCTCAAGCTCAATCGGACTCAGGCACGCTACTTTTCAGACCCCATACTCATCAGACTCCCACGTGGACCCACTCACACTCAGACTGACTCTTGTTCAGATTCGCTTATACCCAGACTCACTCGCCGTCATGTTCACTCGTAGTTTCACCTCACGCGTACTCGGACCCTCTCAGACTCGTATGTTTCCCAACAGTCCGCTAGCAGACCCATTCATACTCAGACTTGCTCACGCTCCGACTCAGTTTCACCCAGACTCACTCATACGAAGAATTACGCATGCTCAGACGCACTCGGGCTCAGACTTTCTCATACCGGGCCTCACCCACTCATACTAAACACTCAACCATGCCCGGGCTCATTCACATTCGAATTCAATCAGTCTCAGACCAGTCACGCAGATATTCAGTCAGTCTCCTTCCGTGTGGTGGTCCAATGTTCCCTCGCTTTTCCATTTGTGCTTCCCTCGTCTCCCTGTAAGATGCCCAGAGTAAGAGGACGTCAATAATGTCGTCGCTGTCGCCGTCGTCGTCGTCGCGCCCGTCGTCCACGCTGGTTCGCTCTTACACCCAGATATGTTCACCTCAGCGAGACGTGACAGGAGTATGAGATACATGTATGGGGATCTCCGCGTCGAGCAGTTCTTAGACGCCTCCGAACCTCCCTCGCCCCTCACTCTTCTTCACTCCCATATCATTCAGATATCCCGACTCAGATCACTCACGCTCATCACGGTGTCCATCACAGACTTACTGCTCTTCACGGGGTCCATCACATAAGCATTTTTCCTCACGCAGACTCACCGACATATTTCCATCACTAAGACTCATTCATACTCATGTTCTTTCACATTCACTCAGACCCACTCAGGGAAGTAACCTCGGACGCTTTCCCATTCATACACATTCACACTCTCTCACTCCGACACAACCTTCCTGGTTGAGACTCACTCAGAGTTTTCCAGGGTGAGGACTCCAAAACTCGCGCCCAGAGTGTGAGGATGTGTTTCGCGGCCTGCTTGTTTCTGCCACCCGTTCCTTTTGTTTCTGTTGGTGGTCCAGTGTTCACTGCGATGGGACAGGCGCAACATTTGGGCACCCCACTGGGGGAGCCGCCGCGGGTAATGATACTCCAGGATTCGCCCGCAGATTGCGGGGATGTGTTAGGGGTTCTGCGTGCTTGAGCCCCCCCAGACTTTTCTCCTCTGGTGGTCCAATGTCCACTTCGATCTAGCAGGCGTGGCATTTGGGCACCCACGGGGGGCACCGTCCAGGAGTGAGGACGCTCCACGATTTGCGTCCAGATTGTGGGGCTGTCTCAGGCGCTTTGCTTCTCCTTGCCCCCCCAGATGTTTGTCTTCTGGTGTCCCAATGTCCTCCGCGATTCAACAGGCGTAGCACTTTGCACCCCAAAGGGGAGCCGCCAGGGGTGAGGACACTCGAGAATTCGCGCTCAGATGGTGGAGATATCTCTGGCGGTTTCCGTGTTTCTGCCCCATTTGATTTTTCTTTTTTGGTGGTCCAATGCTCACCGCGACAAAGCACGCGTGGCATTTGGGCACGTCAGGGGGGGAGCCACCAGGGGTAAGGACATTCCAAGATTCGCGCCAAAATTGTGGCGATGTCTCAAGTGATTTGCCAGTTTCTGCCTGGCAGACTTCTCTTTGGTCTTGTCTGTTCCTCACACTCACATCCTTCCCCGCGTCTCTATTCAGACACAGTCATTCGCACTCAGACTTACTCATCAGCACTTCTTCCTCACTCAGACTCACCCATCACATTCAAACTTGCTCATACTCATATTTAGTCATACCCAGGCCCACTCATACGCCTTCGCTCATAGTCAGACCCACTCAAACTCAGATTCACCCACACCCACATCAAGTTTCACTCATGTTCACTCGCATTCGGACTCGCCCACCCTAAGACTCGCCCATTCAGATTTGTACCCATCACACAAACTCAGCTCCCACGCTCAGGCTGGCACACCCACGCTCAGACTTTCTTGCACCTAGACTCTCTCGCACCCAGTCTCACTCATACTCAGCCTCACTCGTATTCAGATTGACTATATCCAGACTCACTCACACTCAGACTCATTGCACCCGGACCCACTCACACTTCGACACGCTCACATTCCGATCGCCCGCGGTCAGATTTATTCGCGCTGCAGCTTACACACGAGTGGCCACCGCGACATAGCTGCGTGGCACTCGGGCACCCCGAGTGCCAGCAGGCGCCGCGAGTAGCACGCAAGAGAGCGGGCGCAGCGTTGCCATGCGCGCTAGCCTGCATTGCCACGGGGAGGACGGCGGGAGGAGGCCCCCCCCACCTTCTTCCACTAATGTTCCCCTTGCCTTTCCAGGAAAGTGGCCAGAGCTGCAGGACGTCACTGGAGCAACCGCTGTCGCTGTCGTCGTCGCTGCCTCGCCTGTTGCTTGCGCGGACTCACTCTCGCACCCAGCTGCTCACGGACACAATTCAACAGCGGTGCGTGGCAGGGGGCCTGCTTTCCACCGCCACCACCACCATGAGTTGGGGGGGGGGAAGGAGGAGGAGGAGGAGGAGGAGGAGGAGGAGGAGGAGGAGGAGATGCAATCTGGGGATCCCTGCGTCGAGGAACTCTGCAGAGGATGGAGGGGGTGCGTCGCGGTCGGGAGCCGGCGCCGGGTCGTCTCCCAGGCGGGGTGGGCGCGGGCTCAGCCCATGGCGCATGCCAGGATCACGGATCAGGGGAAAAACGTGCCACCGGACGTGACGGCTCCAGCCGCCCACTGCTCTTCTCTTTTTTCTCCCTCTTGCTTCTCCTTTATTTCATTTCCCTCGTCATCCCCTCGTCGTTCCCCTCCTCGTTCACCTCCCCTCTTCATTCCTCCCCTCCTCCCTCCCGTTTGCTTTCTCCTCCTCCACTCTTCGTTCCCTTCCTCTTCCGCTCCCTCCCTCCCTCCCCTCTTCCTCCCTCCGCTTTACGAACCCTTGTTTTCCCTCTTCCCTGCTCCCACTCCTTTTCGTCATCCGCCCTTGCGCTTTTCACCGCATCCCTGCCTCCATCCCCAATGTGAGTGAATTTCACCCGCGTCCCTGCCTTCATCCCCAATTTTGAATATTCTTGCCGTCTTTGTCAGCGTCGTCCTCGACCTCATCGTCATCCTCATCGTCCTTCTCCCTTTTTCTCTGGCTCAGAGCGACCAGAGTGGTCTCGCCAGTCAAGCAAAAAACACGTTGCGCCGCTTCCATTCCTGGAAGGTCGAAGCACCTGCTTCCTCCGTCCAAGCCGGAAACACTCTCAAGTCGGAGGCCAGCAGCTATACACAACCACCAGCCCTGGCTAGGTCCATCTTGGGCCGGGACTGGTGTACAGGATAGGCCACGGGTCAACCGAATCCACCAGGCCGGGGCACAGGACCGTGAAAGGACTGGCAACCGTGTAGAGTTGCCAGCCTCCGGTCGATCCATTACCGTGTGGCACCGCCCACAACAACAGAATACTCAAGGTCGATGGCGACTCAGGTCTGCGTCGACTCTCGCTCCATCGCCGTGGACTCGGCGGTGCAACTCCGCAAGGACCGCGCGCGGGGCGAGAGGAGGAGACAGGCGGGGATCGGAGAAACACAGAAGGAGGAGGAGGAGGAGGAGAAGAGGGATGGCTAGGGAAGAAGGGAGTAGGATGAGGGGGAGTAGGAGAAAGAGCAGGGGGGAGGGATGAGAAGCGAGGGGGAGCGATGACAAGCGAGAAGTACGAAGAGGATGAGGAAGGGAGGAGCAGCAGGGGGATGGTGATGATGATGAAGATGAAGATGATGATAATGATGCTGCTGCTGCTGATGATGATGGTAATGATGATGATGATGATGATGATGATGATGATGATGATGATGATGATGATGATGATGATGATGATGATGGTGACGGTGATGCTGCTGATGATGATGATGATGATGATGGTACTGATGATGATGCTGATGCTGATGCTGATGATGATGATGATGATGCTGATTATGATGATGATGGTGGTGGTGGTGGTGATAATGATAACGGTGATGATGATGAGGATGTTGATGCTGATGCTGATGACGAGGATGAGGATGAGTATGAGGATACGGATGAGGATGAGGAGGATGAGGAGGATGAGGATGATGAGGATGAGGGTGAGGATGAGGATGTGGAGGGTGGTGGTGGTGATGATGACGACAACGATGATGATGCTGATGATGATGCTGACGCTGATGATGAGGATGATGATGGTGGTTATGATGATGATGATGATGGTGATGATGATGATGATGATTATGGTGATGCTGATGTTGATGATGATGATGATGATGATGATGATTGTGATGCTGATGATGGTGACGGTGATGCTGCTGCTGCTGCTGCTGCTGATGATGATGATGATGATGATGGTGATGATGATGATGATGATGATGATGATGATGATGATGATGATGATGGAGGTGTTGGTGCTGATGATGATGGTGATGGTTGTTATTGCTGATGATGCTGAGGATTATGATGGTGGTGGAGGTGGTGGTGGTGAAGGGAAGATCTGGCGCTCTCAGCCACCTGAGCCCATAAGGCTTTTAGGCTTCTTGTCTCTTGCCTGCCCGTGCCCTGAACCACTGGTTCTCGGGCTGCCCCACGACGCAGTGGCCAACAATCTGGAGCAGACGCAGGGGCAACGATAGGCGGCGACGATAGACTCGGGGGGGGGAGCATCGACCCCCAATCACCCATCCTTTGTCACTCGGAGAATAGTGGCGGTGGTGGTGATGGTGATGGTGATGGTGATGGTGATGGTGATGGTGATGGTGATGGTGATGGTGATGGTGATGATGATGATGATGATGAGGAGGAGGAGGAGGAGGAGGAGGAGGAGTAGGAGAGGGAGCGCGAGAGTCCACGGGACGGCCAGAGCGGTGGAGGCTCGCTCCTCCTCGCTCCTCCTCGCTCCTTCTCCTCCCTCCGCCTCTCTCTCTCTCTTCCTGCCGGCTCCTCCGCCGCCCTGCTGCTCCTCCTCCTCGCTCCTCGCGCCCCTCCCTCCTCCTCCCTCGCTCCTCGCTCCCCCGTTCCCTTCTTCTCGCGCCCCCCTCCCTGCTTCCTTGCCCGCGCTGCCTCCCCCCCCCCTCCCCCCCCGGCCGAGGCGTCGAGGCAGGGAGGATCTCGGGCCTCTGCTCGCGCTCGCGCCTCCTCCTCCGCTCCCTCCCCCGCTCCAGCGCAGTGCACGCGGACTCCTCCAGCTCTGGAGGCCTCCAGGGACCTCCGGGCACCTCGGGGGCCCTCGCTCCTCCTCGCCCCCGAGCCTCCTGCCTCCGCCCTCGCTCCTCGCTCCTCGGCGCTTCGCTCTCGGCCCTCCTCATCGCTCTTCCTCCTCCTCGCTCCTCCTTCTCACTCCTCCTCGCTCCTCCTCCTCCTCCTCGTCCTCCTCCTCCTCCTCTTCCTCCTCCTCCCCCAGACTCTCCAACCTCCTCTTCCTCGTCGTCCTCCTCCTCCTCCTCCTCATCCTCATCCTCCTCCTCCTCCTCCTCCTCCTCCTCCTCCTCCTCCTCCTCCCTCGGAAATCGGCTCCCACGAGTGTCCTGGCCGCGCTCCGGCTCGAATTCCGAGGCATATCCAGCCGTGGCCACGAGGGCGCCCAGCAAGGATCAGGAGGCCCATGGAGGATCGACAGGTTTCAAAATGTTAATAAAATCGTCGTCGAATCTCGTACCTCGAACTTCGAACTTCGCTTCTCCTCCTCCTCCTCCTCCTCCTCCTCCTCCTCCTTCTCCTCCCCCTCAGGGTACCGTCACTCTTCCTCCTCCCCCCTCACCCCTCGAGGAGCCACTTGATTTCGACGTCAAGGAGCGCCTGCTCCTGGTCGTCCTCATGACCACGTGCCAGAGCCTCGTCGTCGACGGCGACAGGCTCGATGTGCGGAGCCCCAGCTCTGCCGCGGCGCGGCATTCACCGCATGCTCGCTGATGGGACCAGGTGCGCCGACGAGGAGGTTCCCCGACTTCCGATGATACATATATATATATATAAAGAGAGAGAGAGAGAGAGAGAGAGAAAACAAAAAAAAAAGAGAAAGAGAGACAGAGAGAGAGAGAGATTCACAACTTGCGGCCCCAGGGTTCCCGACCCCTTTGCTATAGGCTACTTGTTGTGTCCTGGGCCAGTTTATTGTTGTCCCGGGGCCCGAAACTGGTCCCCAGAGGCCGACATGATAGGAAGCTGCCGCGATGGACTTAGAGAACGAGGGGGACATGCCCCCAGTGGAAATGAGTGGACACTGTTGCGATTGGTTAGGGATCGAGGTTCGATGATCGAAGATTTTGGACGTGTTTGGACCTCGTCGGGCTTCTGCAGACCTCCACAGGCTTCCGGAGACGTCGGGAGGCCTCCAGGAAGATGATGAGCTGGAAGCGGAAGGAAAAGGAGGGGAGGAGGAAGGGATTGAGAATCAGGGGAGGGGAGGAGAAGGAGAAGGGAGAGGGGAGGAGGGGACAGGCTAGCTGCGCTCGCGTCATATCTGACATCCAACCCCTCCCTCCCATTCCTTGCCATCGGGGTGTCGAGGAAGACATTGGTCCCGAAAGGGCAGACGCCAAAACGCACAGCATAGCATGACGTAGCATAGCGTAGGAGAACACGGCAGAGCCTAGCATGGCATAGCATGGTGTGGCATTGCGCAGAAAGCAGGGCGGGGAGACGGTAGCCAATGCCGATCCAACTGGATTACCAGCGCTGCCGCGAGATGGCCATTCTAACTGACGGAGACTTCATGGCAAGTGAGGAATGAGGGCAGCGTTGTAGCGGGAGGTCCGTTTTGAGTTGCCAGCAAGCAGGGCGGGGATGGGAGGCGCAAGCCACATGCTGATGCAAGAGCACGGCCTGCCCCGCGTCGAGAGTGCCAGTCCTTCGGACGAAGGTTCCAGGGCAAGTCAGGAATGCGGCTTCAGAGATGAGCCGGAGCACCATTGTTAAGGACCGGCACTTCAGACACGAAGCCAAAGCCATAGGACGCTGTCTTGAAGCACAGACAATGTCGGGAGCCCTGTGACGGGGGTCAACGCAAACGGGGGTCAGCCAGAGCGCTCGATCTTGCAGGATCCTGCAGGGCCAGGGTCGCATTGACTCAGGCTTGCGTGCAGGATCCTGCCGGATCTTGCAGGATCCTTCGCGTTGACCAGGGCTTGGGTGCAGAATCTGGTAGGATTATGCAAGGCCTGACTGACCCGGGTCTGGATTCACCCAGGTCAAAAGGTCCCCGACAGCTTGGAGGACCAACGCTATGCCGGGGGCACCAGTTTGAAGGACAAAGCGCAGAAATGACGCCTGCGATTTAGATGGAGCACTTTAGTAAGACATTCATGCGGAAATGAGGCAGGCCAGCTCCGCAGCGGGAACACTATTTTTATCGAGTGAAAGTGCGGAATGAGGACAACATTACATTGGGCGCACAGTGGAGAACGACCGAAGACGCGGAAATGAGGCAATTGCTGCAGCGGAAGCGCCAGTTTCGAGAAACGAGAACGCGGAAATGGAGCCAGTGTTGCAACAGGAGCACCAGGTTGGGAAGGACCGAAAACGCTCGGATGGGCAGACACATAAGACAGATCAACGGTTGAACTCCTGCGTTTGAGAAATGCACGGAGGCGGCGGGACACTCTCAACACGTCTGTGGGGATGAAGAGAAGTAGTATTCAGATGATGTCACTGTGGAGCAGAAGGAGTAGGACGACTGGGAGAAGGGGGGAGAGGAGGAAGAGTAGGAAGAGAAGAGGAAGAGGAAGAGGACGATGAGTAGGGTAGCAAACGGTGGAGTAGGATTAGGAAGAGAAGGGCAAGTGGAAGCGGAAGATAAGTAGGATAACATGATCAGGGGAGGTGTACGATTAATATGAAAATGAGAAGGATGAAGGAAGGAGCACGAGGAGTAGGAGGAGGAAGACGACGCAACGACGACCACGAGGTCGGGCACAAGGGTCAGGAGGAGTAGAAGGCCGAGTATGCAGCGCATCCTACGTGCTGCAGCCACACTCCTACCAGTGCCGTATGTGGGCCACGTAAAATGCTTCAGCGGAGCTACGCCGTTACCCTTGCCGCCTCAACTTGGCACGAGTGGCGCCTCGTGACTGCGATGTGGTTCGTCGCCGCAGCCTGAATGCAGCAGCGGCATGAGGGGAAGCTGGGCGATTACAAGCGAGGAGCTGGGGGAGCAGCACGAGCAGGGTGAGGATGATTCATAGTTGCAGTGGTGGGGAACAGCCTCAGTTTGAAGGAGCCAGGAGGAGGGGCAGCAGCATGATGATATCGAGGAGGCATGGGGATACGAAGCGGATGAAGACGAGTGCTCCGAATTGGTCGTTGCGCGCGGTGGTCGTCTGATCTGGAAATTATGCAGGGGCATCTTTCAGTTGAGCGTGTGCCTGAGCATTGGTTGTGTCACGCTCACGGC